GATAGATCTTTTTCAGTTAGAGTTCACAATTATGCCTCATCAACAGCATCTCTCTCCTGTGGTGTTCCCCAGGGTTCTGTTTTGGCCCCATTGCTTTTTGCTTTGTATTTGTTGCTTCTGGGGCAATTGATAAGTACTTTTCAAGGTATATGCTATAATTTCTAAGCAGATGATATTCAACTTTATTTTTCTTTTAAGCCCCATGAAACTACGAAATTCTCTGTTCTTTTAAATTGTATAAACTCTGTAAAAGTCTGGATGGAAAACAATTACCTGCAGTTAAATTCTGAAAAAAATTACTTATCTTGGCTCCTGCTGGTGTTCTCCCAAGGCGATGGAATGTCTTGGCCCCTTATCGCATTCTGTTAAACCTTCCCTTCATAATTTAGACCTTCATATGGGACAATAAACACGTTAAATGTCTAGTTCAAATTGTTTTTATCAGTTGAGAAACATTACAAAATTGAGGCCTTTTGTGTCAATAGTGGAGATGGAGATGATTATACATGCTTTTATTTCCTCCCGCCTTGATTATTGTAATTCTATTTTTACGTGTCTTAGCACTTCATCCCTGAAACGATTACAAGTGGTCCAAAATGCTGCTGCTAAGCTTTTAACCAAGTCATCAAAGAGATCTCATGTAACACCAATTTTAATCACTTTACATTGACTCCCAGTCAAATTTAGAATTCAATTTAAAATTCTTGTCTTGGTGTTGAGCACTGCATGGTCAAGCTCCTGTTTATATAAACGAGTTATTGCAACCTTATAATTCCAGCAGGAAATTGAGACCCTCCAAACAGATCTTGCTAGTTGTTCCTTGCTCCAGATTAAAGACAAATGGTGACTGTGCCTTTGAGGTAGTAGCTTCCAAGTTGTGGAACGCTCTTCCCCTGAATCTCAGATCTGTGGACTCTGTGGACACTTTTAAAAAGCTGTTAAAAACGTACACGTTTAAACTTGTCCGCCATGTTCAAAAACGTTAAAAACCAAACCCAAATATTCAAATGGTGGTGTATTTGTATGAAGTAAATGATTTTATTTTGCACACAGGATTTAAACATCCTGAGCATTTTGTTCTCTAAAACTGGCATTTAAATGAGTGATCAAATCCTATCTTGCATAAATCAGCAGAAATGCATTAACACATGAGAAGTAGCCCCGCCGGACTGGCTCATGCTCTGCAAAGAGTGTCCCATTCATTCAGTATCTGATTGCAGCACATCAAAAATTCATTACTGGGATTCTAATTGAGCTTGTTCCCCAAAGGAAGATTCCTGTATTCTTTAGCCACTCCTGAGAAACAAGAGCGCGACACATGGATCACACCATAAGGGCTCATTAAGATGCAGAGGAGTCTCTGGTCTGCTCCAACAAATGCCATCCTGGTTGGGGTCAGTTTTTCCAATCTGTCTCTGCATACATATGAAGTAGGGCCGGGATAATGGGGATGTATTGTTCATGTTGGATCCAAAAGGGTGATCTGGAGATGAATAATATGTCATGATCTAAAAACAAACATGACATATAACAAACAAAAGGATGGACAGGCAATAAAAGTAAAAGATTGTTTGATAAGCAAATGATGGGTTCATTTTTCCACCCTTGCTTATTTTATAAAAAGGACTTACTAAAATTTAGTATAAAACTAAATCGCTGGGTTAGGGTTAGGTTAGAAAAGTGTCTCTTACGATCACAACAAACAGTAATACTGTAAAATATTATTGCAATTTATAATAACGGTCTTCTGTGTGAATATCTTGTGAAATGTAATTTATTTCTGTGATGCGCAGCTGAATTTTCAGCATCATTACTCCAGCCTTCAGTGTCACATGATCCTTCAGAAATCATTCTAATATGCTGATTTGCTGCTCAGGAAACATTTCTGATTATCATTAATGATGAAATGTGAAATTTTATCATTATTGTGCTGCTTAATATTTTCTGGAAACTGATACTTTTTTCAGGATTATTTGATGAATAGAAATGTCAAAAGAACAGCATTTATTAGAAAGAGTTTATAAAGATCTTTACTGTCACTTTTGATAAATTTAACGTGTCCTTTCTGAATAAATGTATTAATTTCTTAAAAAAACAAAACAAAAAAAAACATACTGACCCCAAACTTTTTCAAGCGCAAATAAATTCAGTTACTCCCAAAAATCTGCAGCGTGTATATGGCTTTAAGTATTGGAGTACTACCCAGTCTGTATATACACATACACACATATATATATATATATATATATATATAAGACACAGCGACACAATTAAACCTCAACATACTTCTATTTTCTACCACAAACGATGACCTGTTAACCTCCTGTTTGCCATTTTACTGTGGAGTGACTTTGAGGATGCGTTTCATTATCTTGGTAATTTCTGGGCAGCAGCTCATTACATATCTTCCTTAAGAAAACAGAAATGTAGAAATGAGAGCTCGTTTCCTTCTTATCACCATGCTGGCATGGATCCAGATACTTAGAAGGCCTGTTTGATATTTGTGTTTAATTCGGCGGTTTGTATCATGATAAAGCTAGTGCCAGCCTGGGAAGTGGGACGAATCAATCAGGCCTAAAGAGGTTATTATGACCAAAAGGTCATTTCAAGGTCAAATCTTGCAAATGTTTAAGGCATGATTTTCCCTAAATTGCAATTCTGTCATTATTCACTCACTCCTACTTCAAACTGTATAATGTTTTATTGCAGTCACAGTTTATAGTGACAATTTTTGTCAAGATCCAAAAACATACCATAAAATATCTGTAACAGCATCAAAGCTATAGTTATGTTGAGCTCAAATATTGAGTTTTAAAGAGATGGTTTGCCAAAAAATGAAAATTCTCTCATTATTTAAACCATTATGGAACACAATGGAAGGCAATAGTCAATGCAATGGAAATCAATGGTCACCAAAATCATTTGGTTACCAACGCTCTTCAAAAAATATCTTCTTGTATGTTCTGCAGATTAAACAGTCAATACAGGTTTGAAATGACAAATGATGACAGTAATGATGACAGATGAGTAAATGAGTAAATGATGACAGAATTTTCTTTCTTGGCTGAACTATCCCTTTTATGATGTTGTTACTTGGAAAAAAACTACATACAGATTCTTCAAAATTCTCCTTATAGATTTAGACAGACATGATGGTGAGTAAATAATGACATTATTTTCGTGTTTGGGTGAAGTGTTTCTTTAAGAAACTACAGGATTCTCCAAAAAGTGCAGTTGTTGCTGAGAGTTTCCACATTTTATTTACCACCACAGAGACATTTGACTACATCTGTGAATCTCATCGCGGGAGGTGGAAGATTGTCATGATGGTTAAAGAGAGAGAGCTCAGTATCTTCCCTGCACTCCGAGCTCTTTTGCGGCTGCCTGCTCAATGGCTCTGTGGATGATACACACTTCTTCCTGCGTCAGGGTCCTATCCATGTGACGGTACTCGACGCGGTAACAGTGGCTCACTCTCTTCATCCTAGGAGAGTATGAAAAGAGAAAAAGATTATTTGACAACAGTTCTATTGAAAACTAATTTGATCACCAAAAAGTTCCTTAAATGTAGCCGCTATATTCAATTCAATTATTCAATTATATACAATTTATTGAAAAAAAAAAAAGATTTGACTCAAATCAACAATAGCTTTCAATTATTTTGGCTCTCGAGTTCAACTCGCTGGCTCATTATTCTGGTCACAGCAATTATGGAGTTAATTGCTCACAGGAGGGGGAAATTATCAATAATAATAATAATAATAACATAATTTCTATCTGTTTTTCATGTAAGTTGTAACCCAGGCTCATTAGAAAAATGTGCCTGTGGTGACATTTGTGCAAAATTATGTTACATTGCTTCTTGCACATTTCGTGGCATTTTCAAAGTGAAATGTCCAGTGAGTGGCACTAAAAGCACGTTCAGTTTTATTTATTTATTTTTATCAGATGAACATGAATCTGGCAACATTTTATTACACTGGATGGTGTATGTATCTCGGCAATTTGGAAATTATTACTGACCCCAAACTTTTTCAAGCGCAAATAAATTCAGTTACTCCCAAAAATCTGCAGCGTGTATATGGCTTTAAGTATTGGAGTACTACCCAGTCTGTATATACACATACACACATATATATATATATATATATATATATAAGACACAGCGACACAATTAAACCTCAACATACTTCTATTTTCTACCACAAACGATGACCTGTTAACCTCCTGTTTGCCATTTTACTGTGGAGTGACTTTGAGGATGCGTTTCATTATCTTGGTAATTTCTGGGCAGCAGCTCATTACATATCTTCCTTAAGAAAACAGAAATGTAGAAATGAGAGCTCGTTTCCTTCTTATCACCATGCTGGCATGGATCCAGATACTTAGAAGGCCTGTTTGATATTTGTGTTTAATTCGGCGGTTTGTATCATGATAAAGCTAGTGCCAGCCTGGGAAGTGGGACGAATCAATCAGGCCTAAAGAGGTTATTATGACCAAAAGGTCATTTCAAGGTCAAATCTTGCAAATGTTTAAGGCATGATTTTCCCTAAATTGCAATTCTGTCATTATTCACTCACTCCTACTTCAAACTGTATAATGTTTTATTGCAGTCACAGTTTATAGTGACAATTTTTGTCAAGATCCAAAAACATACCATAAAATATCTGTAACAGCATCAAAGCTATAGTTATGTTGAGCTCAAATATTGAGTTTTAAAGAGATGGTTTGCCAAAAAATGAAAATTCTCTCATTATTTAAACCATTATGGAACACAATGGAAGGCAATAGTCAATGCAATGGAAATCAATGGTCACCAAAATCATTTGGTTACCAACGCTCTTCAAAAAATATCTTCTTGTATGTTCTGCAGATTAAACAGTCAATACAGGTTTGTAATGACAAATGATGACAGTAATGATGACAGATGAGTAAATGAGTAAATGATGACAGAATTTTCTTTCTTGGCTGAACTATCCCTTTTATGATGCTGTTACTTGGAAAAAAACTACATACAGATTCTTCAAAATTCTCCTTATAGATTTAGACAGACATGATGGTGAGTAAATAATGACATTATTTTCGTGTTTGGGTGAAGTGTTTCTTTAAGAAACTACAGGATTCTCCAAAAAGTGCAGTTGTTGCTGAGAGTTTCCACATTTTATTTACCACCACAGAGACATTTGACTACATCTGTGAATCTCATCGCGGGAGGTGGAAGATTGTCATGATGGTTAAAGAGAGAGAGCTCAGTATCTTCCCTGCACTCCGAGCTCTTTTGCGGCTGCCTGCTCAATGGCTCTGTGGATGATACACACTTCTTCCTGCGTCAGGGTCCTATCCATGTGACGGTACTCGACGCGGTAACAGTGGCTCACTCTCTTCATCCTAGGAGAGTATGAAAAGAGAAAAAGATTATTTGACAACAGTTCTATTGAAAACGAATTTGATCACCAAAAAGTTCCTTAAATGTAGCCGCTATATTCAATTCAATTATTCAATTATATACAATTTATTGAAAAAAAAAAAAGATTTGACTCAAATCAACAATAGCTTTCAATTATTTTGGCTCTCGAGTTCAACTCGCTGGCTCATTATTCTGGTCACAGCAATTATGGAGTTAATTGCTCACAGGAGGGGGAAATTATCAATAATAATAATAATAATAACATAATTTCTATCTGTTTTTCATGTAAGTTGTAACCCAGGCTCATTAGAAAAATGTGCCTGTGGTGACATTTGTGCAAAATTATGTTACATTGCTTCTTGCACATTTCGTGGCATTTTCAAAGTGAAATGTCCAGTGAGTGGCGCTAAAAGCACGTTCAGTTTTATTTATTTATTTTTATCAGATGAACATGAATCTGGCAACATTTTATTACACTGGATAGTGTATGTATCTCGGCAATTTGGAAATTAAATGTCTGGTGAGTGGAGCTAAAGGGTTAATGCTCTATCACGTTTGAAAATAACGCACCAGCTACACTAAATGTAACCGACGGTGTTAGCGAACGCAAACGTGAGATAAAAACACATTTGCTGAAGCAAGCATGCCATTTTAGCTTGCTTTTACAAGTCGTTGAACTCTTTTATTGTGAGTCATGTCTCACTGAACTCGTACCCGAGCGCTTCACATCGTAAGCTGTACTGGGTGCGCTACAGAGCAAGTTTACAATATCAGAAAAGCCGTAGATATGGAGCTGGTTAAGTGATGCAAACATCAAAATGTATTAGTTTGCAAATCAGGCACTATGGTAAAAGTTTTTGAGGTCATAACATAGTATTGTGCAAGGAACCATGTGAAAATAAGTCTTTATTAACCGATAATCTGTCCCTGGAATCATAATTTGTGTGAAAAGGAATACACGTTTTTGTTGTTTGACTGCCTCTAGTGCACATTTCAGCTGGAAACTGCAGTAAATTGCAGGTAGAGGCATGTTTTTCCAATGAGCCTATGTTTGTAAACTGTCTCCTTTTAGATTACTTTTATGGTGTTTTTTTGTCATTTTTGGAGATTAACAGCTGCCGTTGGATGGAAAAGTGCTGTGTGAAGATTCTTCAGAATATCTTCTTCTGCATTCCACAGAAGAAAGAAAGTCATAAAGGTTTGGAACGACTTGATGGTGAGTAAATGATGGCAAAATTTAGATTTTTGGCTGAACTGTGCCATTAATGTTAGTTTAGTTGTTGCAGTGCAGATATTTCTGCACAAATAAGTTATACAACAGTGTATGTAAGGTCAAGCTAATACACAGATCAAACTCGTTCAGGGAGCTGCCAGTCAACAAACGCTCTCGTTCGCTCACACACATGCAGTGTGCCTCGTCTCAGGGGAGAAGCTGGATTAACAAAGAAACTGAAGTTTTCACTTACACAGTGCTCTCCAGGGAGAAGACCAAAGTCAAGCATGATTCTCTCTTTATTGTGCATGCTGTATGTAAGCAAGACTGCAGAAGACTGAAGAAAAAAGCCAAGGGTTTGGACTCTCTACAGAGCAATGAAGTGAAACAAAATGGCTGACAGGCAACTTACTGCAGTAAAGCAGCTGCTGGGATTCCAGCGCAGACCAATGAGGAGTTGTGAGGCTACATCGGATTCACTTTAACGATATTGGATTTGCAGTCAGCAGGCCCGGTAAGGTCAAGCTAATACACAGATCAAACTCGTTCAGGGAGCTGCCAGTCAACAAACGCTCTCGTTCGCTCACACACATGCAGTGTGCCTCGTCTCAGGGGAGAAGCTGGATTAACAAAGAAACTGAAGTTTTCACTTACACAGTGCTCTCCAGGGAGAAGACCAAAGTCAAGCATGATTCTCTCTTTATTGTGCATGCTGTATGTAAGCAAGACTGCAGAAGACTGAAGAAAAAAGCCAAGGGTTTGGACTCTCTACAGAGCAATGAAGTGAAACAAAATGGCTGACAGGCAACTTACTGCAGTAAAGCAGCTGCTGGGATTCCAGCGCAGACCAATGAGGAGTTGTGAGGCTACATCGGATTCACTTTAACGATATTGGATTTGCAGTCAGCAGACCCGGTGCCCACTGGGATATAAACTGACATAATAATGCATCAGAGAAGCACCCTAAAGAGCTCTAAAATGCTTAGCGTTTTCAACTGAACTAAGAGCTCTGGCTAGTATTTATTTATTGTTGCTATCCTACACTTCCTACAGTCAGAATTCTCACGATTCGAGATTGACAGGATGGTGGAAATCAAACAAATGCTCAGCATATATTTTACACTGTCTATGCATATGCGATCATCTGCCATTAATACTTTAAATCACACAGAAACATGAGCTCATTAGTAGCTGTTATTCGTTCTGAAGTTATATATACACGTTTGCATTGACTCTAAACTGTACATTATTAATGTATCCACCTTATTTTGAGATGTTTGATTTATTAGGCGTTATCGGTAAAAAACTAGAAGAAGAATAAAATGCAGTAAACGATAAAACTGATAATAAATTACAGTAATATGATAACAAATACCAATTTGCAATATAAAGCAAATGGCCACACTGCTCTTTCGTTACAAATATGGTGGACTGGCAGCATCTAAAACGTCAGCATTTTATGTAGGAATAACTTTAAAGACGTCCAAATCCTCTCAGGTTCGTCAAATATTGAATTCAAGGAAATAACAAATTGATTTTATTGTATCTAAATCAATGAGATTAATTAAAAATGCTCAATGTCATATTTATTTAATGCATTTACCTAATGTGAAATTATAACAGTCGAATTTCTGTGTGATTTCTGGTGCTGCAATCAACTCGTTTTGAAGGAATGCATCACTTTACTCAAGCTTAAACTTTAAAGTGTTAAAATTAATAAAAAATCATCAATTTAATCACTGCTTAATCATTTAATTAGTAAAATATATATGCAAATAATTGCATAATAGTATATTATAACAAATTATTTTCACTGTACTTTACACCTGTTTTTTATTATTTATTTATTTATTTTAAATATACTGTTGAGAAGTGTTTTAGTAGTGATTTAGTAGGGATGAAGTTCAGAAATATCTACATAACAGTAAAATATACAAATATATACACTACCGTTTAAACGTTTGGGATCTGTAAGATTTGTTAGGCTGCATTTAGTTCATCAAAAATGCAATAAAAACAAATATTATGAAATATTATGAACAATGTTAAAAACGGTTTTGTATTTGAATAGATTTTCAAATTTTTAATAAATAAAAAAAAAATGTATTCCTGTAATCAAAGCTGAATTTTCAGCATTATTACTCCAGTCTTGAATGATTGTTCAGAAATCATTCTAATATGCTGATTTGCTGCTCAAGACACATTTCTGATTACTAACAATGTTTATGTAAATGTAAATGTCTTTACTGTTACTTGCTGCTATAAAAATCTTAACCTCTTTCAATCAAATCTTACTGACCACAAAAGAGCTTGTAACACTCCAAAGAGAAAGGAAAAATTGAAATCGCATCATATGACCCCTTTAAAACAAATTCTAAAATTAAAAGCTAATTCAAAATATCAAAAATACTGTAAATATATCACGATTAATCATTTGAGAATTTTCAGCATTATTACTCCAGTCTTGAATGATTGTTCAGAAATCATTCTAATATGCTGATTTGCTGCTCAAGACACATTTCTGATTACTAACAATGTTTATGTAAATGTAAATGTCTTTACTGTTACTTGCTGCTATAAAAATCTTAACCTCTTTCAATCAAATCTTACTGACCACAACATTTTTAACAGATGTGTATTAATGCATATGAAAAGACTTTTACATTTGTGAGCCTGTGCATACATACATACTTGTACAAAATAGATGCTGTCAATATGTCCATACTGCATATGAAAATGTAAAATTAAAAGCCATTTTCAAAATGTTAATAAATACTATAATAGTTATAAATATTGTATAGCCCATTATAACATTTTTAGCAAAATCCAAGTGCCAACTTGATTTACGCAGCAGCTGTTTAGTTTAAAGGACTGCATTGGAGGACAGCAAAACAAGCATTTAGTTAACCCTTCACTTAAAACCTGTTATTGAGATACAGCTTTTGTGACAACTAGCCCTGATATAGGTTTAATGAGTATTTATCTGGCACGAAAACAGAACTAAACTAAATACAACTACAACTAGAAAACACCCTCATTCGAACAAAATATTTCACTACGAAAGAAGATGAAAATGCAGTGCAAGGACTTCTGCTTGGGGACTCCAATGAATGGAGTCGTTTTTTTTAACAATTTCATTTGCATGAACCATCCGAATGACACAATTATATAAAACGAATCATCCGTCTCAATGTTTCATACGAGAGAGAGGGGAGATTTTAGGAGAATTTCGTTATATTCTCTGAGCTAAAGCTGCAGGCGCAATGCAATCCGATGTGTCAGAATGTGTCACGCTGCGTGGCTACTTGTCGGAAAATGTGGGCTGTTACTGGATGAGCTACATTATTATGAAAACTGAAGTTAGTAGCCTTGCTATTTTTAGCTAGTTACAGCGAAGGACATGACAATGTGTAGCAGGCAAAGTTAACAAGACCCAAAAGGGAGGCAACCATGTTGAACATTTCACCATCACATCACAAAACTACAACCTTTTTCATGATTTTCAAATTCAAAACTATAAAAAAAAGTGACGTGACATGTGGCCAAGTAAGGTGACCCATACTCGGAATTAGTGCTCTAATCTTAACCTCTTTCAATCAAATCTTACTGACCACAACATTTTTAACAGATGTGTATTAATGCATATGAAAAGACTTTTACATTTGTGAGCCTGTGCATACATACATACTTGTACAAAATAGATGCTGTCAATATGTCCATACTGCATGTTTCATTATATATCCAAACGTACAAAATGTAAAAAAAAAA